CTGTGCTTTTTTGGCATAGATTTGCCATCATACTAAATCTGATCACAGTCCATTCACTCACTTACACTCCATCTTTCCAGATTAGTCAATGGCAACATAGGCTACTGACATTTAATGATTCATTAATCATTCGGTCACCTGAACTGTTCAAAAGCAGATATATGAAACGCATGCCGATCTGAACAGATAGCAGACTAATTATGTTGTGTTAATATGTATAAATGCATTCTTCAACAAAGTTTATAATTTTACTTGATTCAGAAAGAAAGATGGCCACTGTATGACCATGATCCATTGTTGCCGGGGTTAATCTTCTTGTTGGGTAATTATCTTGCCAGAGGTTTCAGTTCTTAAAGCAGATGCTGTTTATCATTAACAATTTGTTTAAAACATCCTATTCTTTTATTTTTGGAAATACAGCCGACTATATTGCCCCATTCACACGGGGCTTCAGCGTCAACGCTTGACTGAAGGTGTGTCTAAAGTTGGGACACGACCGTCATAGCAGCGTCAGCAGATGAAATTCAGTCAGCAATAGGCCACTGTCTAGCTGGTGTATTTGCATATAGTGATCTGATTGGCTGATGCTTCCATCGCTGCTTAAAAAGTTGAGCTAGTCCTAACTTCTGGCGCGAGCAATGCCTCTGAAGCGGCGCCGACAGATACACAATGCAGTTTGGCAACGTCTGACGTCACCCATTTAAAGTGAATGGGAAGCGTTGATGCTGAAACCCCGTGTGAATGGGGTCGTTAGACACTATTCGAAACTATGAATGTTTTACTTTTATTTAACAAAATAGTTTGTGTTTTTTAGCTGCGGAATAATAGTGGCATTTGTTTTAACACGTCACTTCACCTCAAATGTTATTTGTTCTTTTTTGTTTAGTTTGTAGTAGGGTTGGACCGATAAATGATGCCATCGTCCATCGCCGATGGCCAATAGACAACCCGATGCTGAGCTGGCATTGCGATCCATCACAAAAGAAATTGTAGAAAACTGACCAACACAATATATTGATATTAAATACATATTATGCCAAATTAAATCTGCTACAAAAAGATTTTTTAAATCTTATTTTGTTCTTTCTCATCTGTAGTTTTTTTTCCTTATTCTTGTAAGCATCCAAAGTAATTCTAAACTTCACTTGGTGAGTTGGTCTTTATAAGAGATTGTCGCAGTCGTTGTAGCAACTAAATCATATTCACAATCACATGATGAGAAATTAACTGATTCTGATGTGTTTGAATTGAAGCATTGGAAAACATGCAATACAGTGCAAATTTGACGCAGTTTTGCAGTCTTAAAGGACTCTCTTTGCAGTCTTAAACTATCTCTTTAACAATCACTGCAAATCAAAGTTTAATAGTTTCAAGCTGAAAATCTATAAGACAGAGTTGTGCTTTAAATAATATTTTGTTTAATAGTAAGTGTATAAGGTTAAATTAGAACTGAGAACTGGTAGCTTAACAGCATGAACTTGAGAAACACCTCAGGGATTAACTGTAAGCATTACTTGTAGTTATGGCTTTCAGTAAAGCAGCTAAAGCTAAGGTAAGGCTGAGTTGGTGTTTTCACACTGCATGACTATCTGGCGTAGCATTCCGTAGCTGCTGTGTTCATACGGCAAGATTCAGGGGGTTTCACACACTGCATGACTTTACAGACAATCACAGACAACTTTTTCTCTGTCGCAAACTACATCTCACAAACAAACACACATGAGAAGTGACATGGAAACACGTAAGACAAAATAATCTTTAGTTAAACATTCCAGTAAACATTTGTAGAGGCATGAAAAAATAATATAGTAAAATTACTCTAGTAAATACTAGTAAATAAATAGTATATCTTTTTTTATATTTACTACATAACGAGAAGAAGCCTTTAGTGGGGTAGAAAATGTACTTATTTTGCTCACCTGGCTTATGAAGGGAATTGGAACACATTTCACTAGCATGACAAATATCTCACGGGTGTCGGCAACTTGCACTTGTTAAAACTTGATTTAACAAATACATAATTCAGTACTACTCACCATAACTTTGAATGAAAATCTGTCTTAAGTATGATTGTCTGAATACCATTAGCATTTCATAAATAAAATTCAAAAAGGATTCCTTTTAAAAGCTTGAGTCTTCTATTGTTTCATTGTGTAATAAGACCAATAAAAATATAAAGAATTGCTATTCTAAGCCAGTTTTGCCAGGAACTATATTGTCATTCTGGCAAAAGTCTAGAAAATCTGTTACATTGAAGCATTGGAAAATATCATTCCACTTGGTGCATGGCTGCACCAAGTGGAATGATATTACACAGTATATGAGAATCGGCTGTTTATAGAGGGTGCTTTGAAACCTTAAAGACAAGAGAGATGAGCTGTTGCTGCATCAGATAACACAACAAATTTAGTATGATTTGATAGGTTCGACCAAAGAAAAAAAACTTTTACATTCAAAGATGTACATTTGATAATAGTCCTTATAAAAAAAAATATCTTAACGTTCATCGAACAATATACTATTAATAAACTGAATAGTAGGTCTAGATTATATTTACAGAAGCTCATTTAAACAGATACGTCTCACAATACTAATGTTCATTTTCCATCAGTTTTATGACTCTATCATTAAATAGGACAATTAACAAGACCTTTTTTAGAACAAAATTCTAATGGTCAAATTGGATTCAATATATTATGCTAAACTAAGCTAAAAGTGACCCTGCCAGAACAAGAATTTGGCTAAATGTATTCAAAAATGGTTCAAGACAAGTCGTTAAAAGAGGGCAGGAAAACTAAATATTCATTCATTTCTTCATTAATTTTCTTTTTGGCTTAGTCCCTTTATTAATCCGGGGTTACCACAGTGGAATGAACCGCCAACTTAACCTGCACGTTTTTATGCAGCGGATGCCCTTCCGGCCGCAACCCGTCTCTGGGAAACATCCACACACACTCATTCACATTCATACACTACAGACAATTTAGCTTACCCAATTCACCTGTATCGCATGTTTTTGGACTGTGGGGGAAACCGGGGCACCCGGAGGAAACCCATGCGAATGCAGGGAGAACATGCAAACTCAACACAGAAACGCCAATTGACTCAGCTGAGGCTTGAACCAGCAACCTTCTTGCTGTGAGGCGACAACACTACCTACTGCGCCACTGCGTAGCCCAGACTTAATATGTGAGAGAAAAAAAATTATTATTGATTGTTTAGGCACACCCAGACCCAGTATTGAGTTTAGTTTAAACACCCGTATTTGTTAAGTCAGCCTAATGATTTTATTATTATTTTTTAAACTTTCCATTGCATCTAAACGTGGCTATTTGAGGTTTTTTGTTTTAATTATAGTTAACATAACTGTTTTGTAATTTTCATCTTCCAATCATTGTCAAGATTTACTTGTGATAAAACAAACTTCATTAGAATGTGAAAAAAAAACATCTATACCTTTTTTTATACTCCGAGCATATACATTCATTTTTTTCTATTGTCATGAAGTTATCACTAATTGACCTGAAAAAATGTTTTTTATTTTCTCCCTTTTTATGTAAAAGTAGAGCAGCACAATTAATAGAAAAAAGATTGCGATCTCAATTCAACCCCCTAGATCAGGGGTCATCAAACTTGTTCCTGGAGGGCCAGTGTCCTGCAGATTTTAGCTCCAACCCTAATCAAACACACCTGAGAGAACGGGTGCGCACCCTACTTAATGATAGACGCGCGGGTCTATTTTAGTAAACAGAACCTGCCTAGGCTGTGGATAACAGTTTATAAAGTTGTAAATAGCATTCAGTTTGTGGCACAGATTGATTGTATGGAGCCGCGCAGCAAGTTTGAACAGCACTTAGCAGTGAAAATGAAACCGAAAGGGTGCACATCATTTAAATAATTATATCCCATTTTAGAGTTATGATTGCGATTTAAGCATTTGATATTTTTTTTTCTTTCATAGTGAACACAAGGTGTTGTGCATGAGCATAAATGTTTTAATAGTGTCAGCATAACTACTGAAGCCTAAATATTGTTGAATAGAATGCAAGAGGAAATCTGATAACAAATTTCGGATTTTACCAGTGAATAAATGGTTGTCAATGACAGATTGCAAACATATGTCTTAAACATAATAATTCATTTTCAGAATTATGAATAGTTGTATTCTGATGTCATCACTTTACTGTGCATTAATGACCTGGACCAATTTAAAGTCTGCTCAAGTCCACTATTCAAAGTCTATTCAAAATTTAGCATTTTACCCAACAGTAGACCTACACATAATATTATTGTTTTTTGTCATATGTTTGAGTAATAACAACAATAATAATGGCCCACTCATATTAAGCTTTATTTTACATCTACAGAATCATGAGAAAATTGCGATCTTAATTTTAGGCAAAAAAATTGCGATTTTCATTTTAACCAGAATCGTGCAGCTCTGTGTAAAAGTGTATTTATTTTTTTCTGTGTCATTGGGATATGACATTATTATTATATGTGCGTATTTATATAGATCTTGCCATAAAATAGTCATGAGTTCAAACAAATTCAAACATGATGTTCCTTGTGATCCTGAAAACCCTTTAGTGACTTCAATCAGAACCTGCTATGAATCAACATTCAAAAACCCTAAACGCACAACTCTTTGTTTTAAGACAATATTACTGGAATTAAGTCTGTAATTGAGTATATTCAGTGACAAAATCCTCACACTAATTCAGATAACTCTGTCATATTTGACCATTCTCTTAAAGTTCAAATCCAGTTGCTTAATGTTTTTCTTTCTAATTTTGCAGATTCTACAAATGAATACAAGTGATTTATGCTGTCTTAAGTGGAGCTCCTTCTATCTGTGGCATCAGTTCTCCAATATAACATGTCTAACATGTAAGTAAACACTTGGATGGAGAAAGCCACACTCATGACACTTGGAGACTTAAAAAAGCTGCTTTGAATAGAGGACATTTTCTTTCCCTGCAGAATTTTTTTCTGCAATAATGGACAGTGAAGACAGCCTCTCACAAAAGACTGAGGTTGCAAGCCATAGGCATAATGGCTCCAAAGATAACAAAAGAATTGAGGCCAAAGGAACCTGTTTAAAAATCGAAGGGAAAGATGGGTATGTGTTCAAATCATACAGAATTACTCCTCAAGAGATACTGGAATCAGAGTTTCATACCTGTCCCTCTGAGACACTGGCAAAAGACTCTTCTTTGGTGTCTTTATCATTTGAGTCCACAGAGGAAGATGGATCTTCTGAGGTTGAAAGGCTTTCAACTGAGGATTCGACAGCAGAATCTTGTGAAAAGCATGATTCTCAAACATCTCCAAATATTTCAAATAAGAGCCAGAACACTGAAATAAATAACTCAGAAACTGAAACAAGTGTATGCATCAAAGCAGAACCAAAAGTAACAGGTGAAAATGCTCAGGATGATGAAAAGCTAGCATTTGATGGAACATTTGGGCCCTTTGCCACCAGGGGTTATGATGATGATTATGGTAGCTTGTTCAGTGGCTATTCAAGTACTCTTTATGATGTTGCAATGGATGCTGTGACACAAAGCCTTCTGTCATCCATAAGAAGTCCCCTTAACCCTAGAAAAAAATCTCCTGCTTGGAACCATTTTTTCATATCACCACGTGATAGTACCAAAGCAATCTGTATGTACTGTATGAAAGAGTTCAGTCGGGGTAAAAATGAGAAAGACCTCAGTACTAGCTGTTTAATGAGGCATGTGCGAAGAGCTCACCCCAGTGTTCTTCTGCCAGACAGTGACTCATTAAATAATTTGTCCAATAATTCATCTTTAATACCTCCCAACATATCACCAAACAATGGAGATTTGCCTGCAAGCATGAAGTCCTCAACAGAAAACCATACTCAACTGTCCTCCTTTCTAGTTGAGGCCACAGACATGGTGCCCAAAGAGTCTTTACAAAAAGTAAAACCAAAAGGAGAAAAGAGTGTCAAGGGTGACTCTATTGCTGTTCAGTCCCCACATTCCTTTAACAACCATAATGAGGATGCTACAGACTTTGGGACTGAATGCCCTGGATCAGCCCCTAAGAGCTCAAGTTCTCGGCGGCGTTCAGCAGTGTGGAAACACTTTTATTTATCCCCTGCTGACAGCTCAAAAGCAGTGTGTATTCACTGTATGAATGAGTTCAGTCGTGGAAAAAACGGGAAAGACCTGGGGACGAGTTGCCTTATTCGCCACATGTGGCGAGCCCATAGAGACATAGTCATTGATGAAAATGGGCAGGGCTCAAGCATTCCTCCGCCTTACACGACTCCACCAACACTGCTTTCACGCACACAGGATTCCACAGATGTCAAAAAGGAATCCCTCTGTACCTCACACAACCCAGATACCATATCAGACAAAATGCCCAATGATGACAGTGAGAACATGACTCTTGAAGATGAGAATGATGCCACATATCAGTCCAGAGAAGAGTCCTCAATTGATCAATGTTTACTGAAAGGGGAAAGCATACCACTGTCGTCCTCTCCAGAGGAACACACTGATGGGCACAGCATAATATCTGAAGATCAAAGCTCAGTTTTTCAACAAAATAAGAAAATTATGAAACGGGTGAAATCAGAAGTATGGCATCATTTCATTGTCTCCCCCGTTGACCAACTCAAAGCTTTGTGTCGGTATTGTCCCTGTGTCATAAGTCGTGGTAAAAGAGGAGACTTTGGCACAAGCTGTTTAATGCGACATTTAATGCGGCGACATCCTGATGTTTTAAAAACCCCAAAAAGCACAAGTGATAAAGTTTCCTCACCCCAATCACCCCACTCCAATCATGCAGCCGAGGACTTGGCAACAGATACCCTTGCTGCTGAGAACAAACCCCACACCTTGCCCATTTTCAGCAAAAAGACTTCAAAACTATGGAATCACTTTTCTATTTCATCTGCAGACCCAACAAAGGTAGTCTGTTTGCACTGTAGCCGCACAATTAGCAGGGGAAAAAAGACAACAAATTTAGGCACTAGCTGCTTATTTAGGCACATGCAGAGATTTCATGGCCATGTGCTTGAAAATAATAGCAATATCTCAGGTGATGGGCCATCTGCTGAAACTCAAGTTAAGCAGGAGCTCATGGACATTTCTACTTATCAGGAAAACGCAGAAAAGTTCAGTGAATGCCACCCAGCTGCCAAAAAAATCACCAAACTCATTGCAGAAATGCTTGCACTGGATCTTCAGCCATCAACTGTAGTGGAAAATGTTGGCCTGAATCGCTTACTGGAATACCTCCAGCCACAGTATTCTTTACCTCCCTCATCCTATTTTACCAGCACAGCAATCCCAGAAATGTATGAAAGTGTTAAAGAAGTAGTTCTTACCCACCTCAAGGAAGCTGAAGGTGGAATCATTCATTTCACAACAAGTGTTTGGATAGGCAGCCAAACTCAAGAGTACTTGATTCTTACAGCCCACTGGGTGTCATTTGAGTCTCAAGTTCTGCCTCAGGGGCAAGATTTCCACTGCTCGGCCCTCCTTGGTGTTGCCTCAATTGACTGTGACTACAATATGCTGAACATACAGAAGCAGCTTGAATATCTTTGGGACACTTGGATGGGTTCCTCAGGCCTTAAAATTGGATTTACTGTAACAGATAATCAAACAATTAGAAATGTTCTGGAGAGCTGTGACCACACCACCATGCAGTGTTTTGTCCATAACATAGATCTGATTGTTAATGAAGCCATAAAAAGCCAGAGGATGGTTCAGAACTTGCTTAGTATTGCTCGAAAAATCTGTGAAAGAGTGCATCGTTCTGCTAAAGCAAAAGAGAAGTTGGCGGAGCTACAAAAAGTATATCAGTTACCTGAAAACCAACTGGTTCAAGATGTTCCATCGAAGTGGAAAACATCCTACTTTATGCTTGAGCGATTAGTAGAGCAAAAGAAAGCAATTGATGAGATGTCAATCGAGTGCAATTTCAGGGAACTGATAAGTTGTGACCAGTGGGAAGTGATGGGGTCAGTCTGCAACGCTCTTAAGCCTTTTGTGGTAGCCTGCAGGGAGATGAGCAATCGCACTGCAACACTAGGTCAGGTCATTCCACTCATTCACATACTCAACCGAAAGATAGACATGCTTTTTGATGAGACCATGGGTATTGACAATATGCTCAAGTCTTTAAAAGAGGCATTGGTGACAAGAATGTCCCCTACACTTCATGATCCCAGGTACATATGGGCAACCATGTTGGACCCGAGGTACAAGACCTCCCTCTTTACTGAGGAAGAAGCGGAGCAGTGTAAGCATGACCTCATACAAGAGCTTGAGGTGTCTACATCTAATTCTGCAGAGACGAAGACACCTTTGTCAAATGGATGCAGTGAAATACCTGCTTCATCAAACAGCTTGGCCTCAAACAAAGAGAACCTCTGGTCTCTTATGGATGACATTAGACAGAAAATCAAGCAAGAGGAGAAACCAAAATCACTGGAGCTTGCTGTTCTTGAGTATTTGGAGGAGGACATTCTTGACCAGAGTTGTGATCCTTTAGATTATTGGAACCTAAAGAAGTTACTGTGGCCAGATCTTGCCAAAGTAGCTGTACGCTATGTGGGTTGTCCACCCAGCATTGTACCAGCAGATACACTTTTTAGCACATCAACTGTCAACTGTGCCCTGAATCAGTCCCGACCATTGCTAGAAAATTTCGAAGGACTTCTATTTTTAAAAGTCAACCTTCCTTTGATATATTTTCAGTACTGAATATTGTGTTTTAATATTTTCAAGTCTGTTTTATGCTCTGAACCTCAGCCTTGGACCACTCAAGTTACTTTTTTGAGAAGGCCTAATTACTTACAAATCTTTTTTTTTTTCTCTCTCTCTCTCTCTCACTATTTGTCTCTGAGGTTCATATTCAAAATATCATTTGGATGCTATTTAACTTGAATATTTTTTTTTAGCTGGTTTGAATAAGATTGTAATGAGTACTACTGTTGAGTACACTTGATAACTGGAGTCTTATTCCTGGTGAAGTGTTTTCAGGGAGGGAGGGTTATCTAGCTGTATGGTTAGTTACTGTTTGTTGCTGTATTTAGATTTTATTTTATAAATATATTTTGTCTTCTCTCTCCTTGTGCCTTATACAAACTACTTCAGGTCAACATGCTGTAAATATAAACTGATGTGCAAAGCAAGTCATAGTCTTCTGATTTAAATGATTTTATAAAATGAAACGTACATGATGAATACTGTTTTATATATATATGATTATATACATGGCCCAAAATAAATGCTGTGACAGATGTTTTAAATGTATTTTATTTAATTATTTTGTGATTTTTGTGGCTTATGGTACTGTTAGAATTATGGTTATTTTTATTTTTGTATTATTATTTTATAATTTTTTTTGGCAAATGATTTTGTATGTTAATGTACATAATGCTGTACTTTTCAGGTTCAAATGTTTTGAAAAATTGTCTTAAGCACAAATCAGTTTTTATATAAAGGGTTAAATTATGGGACATCAAGGAAATGTACTGTACAATTTATAAATGGTTTCTAAAATATAATTTGATAGGAAGAATTCAGACTGGAACAATTAGTTGTTTTGTGTTCATTTGTAAATAAAATATTACACTTTGAAACCAGTTGCATTTCAATTTGTTAATGCCTGACATTGTGTGTGATTTATGACTAATATGCATAATAATTGCCTTAATTTTACTGACTAAAAAGTTGAATTTCCATGACCTCCAAAGAACGAGACAAAAAAGAGGTAGATGCTTGTACATTTATAATACAATATTAAAATGTGTTAATATGGTTTTAGCTTAAACATCATTTTGCATGACTTATAGCCATTACCTAAGTTCGGTAAGCTTGCGTCATCGAGCTGTTTTGTTAATGGTTGTTGCTAGGTGACGGGCAGGAAAGCAAAGCCCCAAAATTAAGAGACCTCCGTCCGCACATTGCGGTCATTCTGTTTTTACTAAAACTTTTGTTTTTTGGACATACAGAAAGCGTCCATCTGCCGAAAAAAAAAAAAATTATAAACATTCAGAACATCATAGTGTCTGCAGAAGCTGATTTGGAGGGGGAGACAAGCAGACATTAATTATCACTGTGCTTGCCAGCCCTGGCTCAGACTCACTTGTCACCAAGGAACAGTACTTGACTCACACACATACGAATGAACGTCATGAAAAGGTTTGTTTGTTGTACTGTTGACAATTCACTTCCGTTATTTGGTACAATTGCATTTATACCTGAAGTGAACCGTACCCCAGACCACCTCTTTAGTGAACAACAATTGATATTTTTGGAGTGGATGCAAAGTGCTGCTTGTCCCATATTTGAAAGCTCAATCGTAGTTTTTCAACCTTAATATCCAGCTTTTCGGTCTTCTACATTTAAAGCCAGTCCTTAAATGTATATTATCCTGGCATGTTAACCTTAGTTAAAAAGGTACAGTCTGCTGTGCTGAGGTGATTGCCTGTTGATTAGCATGCAAAAAATTAAATTGAGCTGAAAAAACAGCCTAACCATAACAATAGCCATAAAAAATAATAAGGCATAAACAAGTTATAATCTTAATAATTTTTAGCTAAAATTTAAAAAAACAAAAACAAAATCCCTGATTTTCCAAGACTTTGAACAAAGAGTAAAACAAATTCCTGGCTTTTAATGTCTAGAAAATACCTAAAAATTCTATGATTGGCCTGAAATTCCATAACTTGTGGGAACCCTGATTATATGTTTTTTCAATTTATGTATAATTGTAATAAGAAAAGAGAACTCGGACAGAAACCCAGGTAACCTAAAACATTGTACACTCAAGATTGCCGATGAGACTGCAACTCTCACAGAACTAATGGAGCCTAATGTGTTGAACAGAAAAATATAGTATTTATTATATAGTATTATAATATAGTATGCAATGTAAAACTAGATATTAATGATTCAACATTAATATGAAAACTTCCCATTTCATTTGAAGGCCCTAGCCAATAAACCAACTTTGCTTCTCTTTTACTGGTATATACATTTCTGTATAATTAATGATATTTAACAAAAATCTTTTCATGAAATTTTGTTTCGTGTTGGCTCATTAGTCAGGCAAGCTCCTCTGCATCTACAACATAGGCTGTCACAGGAATATCAAAAAATGTGTAGCAAAATTCAGAGTGAAAGGATTTATACTAGTATACCAAATCTGAGAAGTTGCGAGTGCCAATTTGTTGTTGTATAGAGTAGGGCTGAGCGAATAATCGAAAAGTAAATAAAATGGACATTTAGAACTTATAATCGATCTAATTTTTCCAGCTACTTTTTTTCAATTACTTACTGTTATTGAAGTTATACAGTAACTTTCACGCTCTGTTAAGGTGGATTTATACTTTTGTGTCGAACACAAGGGCATGGACAGGCGCCAACTTCTTATGGTTACATACCTGCACCTCTCAGAAATTGTAACTACACATCGCATATTTGCATTACATTGGCGATGATTGGTAGTTGTGCCAGAGATACCTTTTGAGATTTTTTTATTACAAATTACAATAAAATTACTATTAAAATATTTGTTTACAGAACATTCAAGAAATACAATGTTTAAAATATTTACAGCATATGCAAGTCATTTTATTTTGAAGAGATGCTGCTTTTTGTTTACTTTTAAAATGAAAAACTTTGAAAATAATAAATTTTGTTCCCAAAAGTGCAAGTTATTTAATTATTTTCAATAATGCAAGTTATTTATTTTCTATAATGCACCCTTGCAAGTAATGCACCCTCCATTAAAAAATCTCTCACTTTAAATGTGCTCACATATTACCAGTACAAAACTTATCAATGAATTATGAGGGATTTTTTAAAAATAAATAAATAAAATAATTATAATTAATTGTAATCGAGTTAAAATGTTCAATTAATTAAGACCTGGATTTTTGGCCAAATCGCCCAGCCCTACACTGCAAAACATGCTTTTATTGCTTAGATTTATTGTCTTGTTTCTAGTGCAAATATCTAAAATTTCTTATATCAAGAAGCATTTTCTAGACTAGAAAAATGTATTGTCTTGTTTTGAGAAATAATATGCCAATATTAAGTGAGTTTTTCCTTAAAACAAGCAAATTAATCTTGTTTTTTCTTTTGACGTAAGATTATTTTGCTTACCCTATTGGCAGATTATTTTGCTTGTTTTAGGAAAAAACTCACTTAATATTGGCATATTATTTCTCAAAACAAGACAATATGTTTTGCTTGTCTAGAAAATTATTCTTGATTTAGGAATATTTAGATATTTGGACTGGAAACAAGACAACAAATCTAAGCAAGAAAAGCATTTTTTGCAGTGTAGTTTTGACCTTATTCTTCAACGGGGAAATGCGCTTGTTTTTGTTATTTTTTTTTTAACCTATGTGAGAAATGACTAGAAATAATAAATTGCAGAAAATGGTCAAACTAACTGCTCTACAAACAACAATTTAATAAGAAAATGTCAGTTTGCAAGATCAAGCAGCAGATCTAACCCGACTAGTGTAATAGAACTAACTCAGGACTGCCTACCCTCTCAGCAAACAGAAACAGCAAAATAATTCACAAAAAACTTTATAAACATTTATTGGCCCCTTCCCTTAGCTAAAGGAATACATCAAAGTTTTAGTTCAATCCTCCATTTACTTTGTTTGATTGTCTTTCTAAAAGCACAAGCTTTTTGTTTAGCTGAATTTTGAGAGGTGGGAAATGGAACATCTCGAAGGTAAGGCTTTGATATCCGGTAATGAAGACCAAAGGCTTATGCGAGTCTTTGAGTAGCAATATCTTTGTTGCATTCACTTCCATTAATAGATGTGAATAGGTTTTCATTACTGGATCTTCAACTGTCAAATCCTCCTTCTTGTCATATCTATGAAGCAATTAAAAAGAAATATTAAAACAAGCAACTCAAAAAATATAAAAAGCATTATATTTGATAGTTAGATGCTCACACACCTCCAGTTACTATTTAGTTCCAGAAAGCGTGACACTCCAGTTTGTGCAGCAAGTACGTCGATGTGTAATGACACATCTGTGTGGCAAGTATGCATCTTAATCAGGTTGTTTGGATTGCAATGATAATTCAATATTAATAAAGCTATTAACCTACCTGCTGTAGTTGGCATTAATCTATGTAGTTCCTGCATTGCTTTTCCTCCTGGGTAGTTGTGATGGGAAACATACAGAGAAATGCTTGTGTATGTTGCATTTAACATCAAATGTCCAACCACAACTATGGAACCAATTTTATATATCCGTGACTTTTGGTAATTCTTCAATCTGTAACAAAAAAATATGACAAAATTTGAGGTGAAGGATAATCCACTTACCCCTGAGACAGAGAACAGGTTTACACGGACACCAATAATTTGATTTTAATATGATTAAACAATACTCTGATTAAGAGTCTAATATGTAAACAGGGATTTTAATTAATTTAATCAGATTAAGGTCATAATTAAACTAAACAGAAATCGGATCAAGGCATGTGGAATATGCCGATTTTATTTGCATTATTGAAGTGCAGTAAAGACATGTAAACACTTAAAACTATTACTGTTGTGTAGAATTTTCTCCACATTTTGTGACAAGATATTCCAAAAAGACACGGTTGTTTGACACTATTTCTGCACCTATCGACTCAGTAGAACCACAGACACAAACAATATTCTTCCAGCTGTTTATACTAGCATCCAATATCCCGTGTCACAGGGGGCAAGCATGAA